GCGGAGTCTCCTTCTCTGGAGATCTTCCAAACCTGCTTGGATGCAGTCCTGTGCCACGTGCTCTAGGTGACCCTGTGTGTGCAGGGGGGTTGGCCTAGATGACCTCTAGAGGTCCCTTCCGACCTTAATGATTCTGTGATTTTTATGATTACGTCAAGACTATCTAATAAGCTTCTCGGCCACACGACAGATATACAATTGCAGTTTTTTCCCTTTTTCTTGTATTTGCTCCTTGTTTGCTGGTAGAACACCTGCACTGCTGTCCTTGAGGTTCGTTATCTCTTAACGAGGTGTCCTGTACTACTGTCCTTGAAGCAGGCCTCCACAATGCTTGATTTATAGGTGCCATAATAACTTCCATCAAAATCATGTTGGATTTAATTGTTGAATCTTGCTGTCCATCTTTTTCTTTGTAGAATGTTCTTGCTCTCAAAATCAAACTACTTGGAGCTTTTGCTTGTGAGAAAGCAAAACATGAGTTTTTGCTGTTAATCTGAAATTTAAGCATGTCTAGACCCTTCTGATTGCACTATATCAAGGATATTTGATCCATTGCTTGTTGGAAGGAATATGAATGGAACTGTCATTCAGATTTTCATTTTATTCTGAGAAATAGTAATGCCACTGGTAGATTCAGTTAATTTCTCTATTTGCTTGGGAAATTAAAAAGAAATAAATTGAAAAAAATCTGTTGCACACAGTGAAGTTGATGCTAGTTTATTGCATCAGTTTCACAAATCTTAAATTAATCTGTCTTCTCCATCTAATGTTAGGCATCTCAAGAGGAGATAAGAGACCTCTTGGCTTCTCAGGGATTTCTGTGTCTGATGGGGAAGGGGGTAGCAAGGAGGCTGTTCTTGATACAAGACTTTCAGGGTAGAACTTTTTGCTTGGTGTGGCTCAGTCTGCTGACTGAATTACCATTACCAGATAAATTTGCTTTGAATTTACATGCATTTTATCTACTGTTTTAAGAAATCTGAAATAGTTGCCAGTATTACTTTTGTGGCTGTATAACAGTGTTTAACATGGTTTGTGGGAGGCATGTTTGAGCTATATGTGCGATATACATATATAACAATAAATATTATATAGAGTTTGTCAAAATGAATGTGACATTAGGGCCATGAAATTAGGGCATGGACAAAGAGATTGAGAAGAATATTGAGGGGGCAGCTGTTTCTAGGACTCTTCTCCCTCCTTTTTGTAGGATTTCAGTCAGTGAGATGCCTTAACAGAAGTGTTGGAGAAATAGTTTGGAAAAATATTTTCTAAGAGGGAGGGACCCAAGGAGGAGGCATTTGGGTCAAAACAATGACTTGCCTTAAGACAAGAAGGCAAGTCTGTGGCAAGGATCAAAGCCTGGGGACTTGGGTCCTGCTCTAAGCTTTGCTGCTGCCTTCTGTTTCTGGAGGCATCAGCACATGCAATATTCTGTTCTCCCTTCACCACTGTAACTACAGCAAAATTACTGTTTGGCTTTTCTTGCCCTCAGTTGAAAGTGGGAACCTAGGCTTTGATTTATCCCATGCTTTGCAAATCTGCCAACTTTCATGCTGTTGATATTAAATCTGCGAGATTGTAATGTCTGTGTTGTGTTCCAGTTAATTTCAAATCTTCTGCTGTGGAAGAAGCTTTTCATTATTCTAAATTTTACCAGTAGCTGCTACCCTTCACTGATCTCTTCTGAATGGAAAGCTCAGGCAGAAGAAGAATGAGTTTAAGTGAACTTTCTCATGGCTCTTTGCAATTGGGACTTTTTTTTTTTTTTTTTTTTTTTTTTTAACATTGAGTCTTATTTTCCTGGGAAAGTAACCATAGCTCTTGTGACTTTTGATGACTATAAATTGTTAGTGCTGTCTGCAGTCATCTTACAGTGCATGCTTAAAGGATACTTTTCTGAATTTCTTCTCTCCCTTCCCTCTCTGTCTAATGTGTGCGCTTCTTGAGCATTCACCTGAGACCAGTACCTATTTAGTAAGTAATTTTTCTCCCAAATAGACTTTTTTATAGGATTACTTATACTTGTATAAGATGCTTTATAAGATACTTGTGAAGATGCCATCCACATCGGTGAATCTGCAAAAACTTTATCAGGACGGATCAGATTTGAAAAATCTTTCTTGCCATACATTTTGAAGTTATCTGCTTTTCTGACATGTCTCCTGAACTTTTATTCACTGAGGCATATAGTCACGAGGAGACATTTTTATTTATTTTACTGGTGGAAGTCTGTCATCACTGACTTCATTGGAGCCCCATCTACTCACAGGTATTAAATTTAGTCTAGCTTGTGTTAAGTTGTATTCTTTGCCCCTAGTTGCATACATGTAAGTCTTGCATATACTTCTTACCTAGCAATAAAATGTTGAGTCCTTTCTTTAAAAAAAAAAAAAAAAAAAAAAAAAAAAAAAAAAAAGGAAAACTTAGGGTTCCTTCTAAAATGTTTGAGTGCAACTCTTCCCTGTCTAGCCTGGATAACTCAAATTTCAACCAGCTTTTATAGGGACATTAACATCTCAAAGATAATAGATTTTGGGGGAGTTTTGTGAAACTGAAGAGCTAGGTCAAAAAGGCTTAATGAGGGGGCTTGTTGAAAGAGTGAGAACTCAACTTCTGCTCATAGTCTGCTGGGTTGGACACTGACCCAAGGGCCAGGAGAGATTCAGGTGGAAGTGTCTTTTTGCTGGACAGTGGAAATTCAACCATGCAATAGCAGAACTTATACAAATCAGTCAAACTATTTGTACTAATACTTTAAAAATCCTTGGCAAAGAGGGAGAGAGTTTACTGTCATCACTAGCAGCTGCTTATTAAGCAGACAAATGAACAGAGTGTGGAACTGTCTAATATGCTATTTCTTTAGGGTGAAACAAAACGATGCTAGTGTAAAATTGTGAAACCACTGTCAGTTTTCTACTGGCATAGGTAGCATGGTATATCTGTTATATCTTTATTCTCCTTTTCTGTTCTTTCTTCTACAGGCCCATTAGCTTTCATTAATTGCTGTATTCAGATTGTTTTTCTGAAGCTGAATTATGGTTCATGTTTATTCATTATCACATTATCTATGTGATAAATTTATGGTCAACATAGCCAAAGTAATATGTGTAATTGTCTGCCTTCACTAGAAATAATACCGCTGCTCTGAAGTCTTTTTCTGTGAGGCATTTTTCAGGGGCTTTCATATAAACTGGAGTACCCATCACAGTATCATTCCCGATAGTAAAAAAGAATAACCTTTCTGACTTTAGCACTAAGTTAGAGCATATAGTGTTCCCCCTCCCCCCCCCCAGTCACTAGCTTAAAGCTACTAACTTAATGTGAATTCTGAGAACAACTCTGATTCAATGTCAAGTTAACAGTAGTGTCACCATTATCCATTTCAGTTGGACTAAGATGGGAGTCCAGCAATCCTTTTGCTTATTTGCACTGCCTTTAATGGTAGAAGCTCTTTCATCAATTCCATAAAAAAAAAATCCCCTTGTATTCTAAGGTTACTTGACATCTAAGGATGAGGACTGTAAAAAGTTGTACATATTGTGACAATAAAAATAACAACTTGGAGGTCATGGTAATAAATAGTGTGGGGAAAGGAGTAAAAGGAGGAAGGAGATCTGGCTTAGAATTGTATTCTTTATTTCTAGTGTTGGTAAGATGGAGAAATAGTGGGCATATAAGAATTATATATTTTTAAAATATATTAATTATGGATTATCAATGAAAATTCTTTCTAACTTTCTGTGTTAACTTCAGCTTCTTTTGTGAAAACTTTATTTGGTCTCAAATACAGCAAAAGGAACCTCTAGATGCTTATATGTGTTAGTTGGCACTTTTTTGAAACTGATGTGTTAAGGTGTCAAAATGGAAATAGGGTTTTATCCTAAGCCTGATTCTATAGCAATGAATGATAGGAAAGTAGTGATGATAGAAAAGTAGGCTGCATCTCCTGCATATGGTGTTTGCTTGCCTTTAGTCCTCACAGGACCGTGTGAGTCTCAGCCATTGCACAACTACTCATTTTCAGTCTATTTGACTGTTGCACTGCTGAAATAGTAATAGAGCATAGAAACAGAGCAGCATATTAGCCTTAATGCTTCCACTGTACTTTAGTGGGCATTTTTAATAGCCTGAATGTATTACTATGGCAGTCTGTTAGGTGTTTTTATTGTTTGGCATCAGGGTATTTCCAGAAAAATGTTTTCTTTTCATAATTAGTGGCTAGTTCTTTTCTTAGTTCTTACTGTTCTCTCTCAATCTGTACTAAAGGTACTTCATGATAGCGAAGGGATGATGAGAGGCAAAAGTTTGGCAGGCTTTTTACAAGATTGTTTTTCTTATTGAAAGCTTCTTCCTCATGTCTGTCACATATATGTAGCTTTAAGTATGTAAATGTTAAAAAGTGTATCTGGACATTTACCAAAGGAAAATGGAAACTAGTCTTCCATTTAATAAACTAATATGATTTCAACTATTAATTTGAATTGAGATAGTTCTGGATTAGGAAGGCTTTGTGTAGATAAAGGAAGAAGAAATTTTTGGAGGTTGATTAGCTGAAGTATATTTTATGTAGTAGCTTCTGTTTGTATCTGCATGTTTTAGTAGATCTGAAATGCAAGTAGCTTTGTAGTGTGTTGCCATAGATGAGTACAGATGATCTAATTTTACAGTGGCTCTGGTCTTTCATGTAAATCAGTGACATTCTATAATAAACTTCATCCTGGAGACATAATGTGTGCAAATTCCATTTGTTTGAAGAAATAGGTGGTATAAATTTTCATATTTAAATGTTGAAACATTTTATGTAGCAATACTGTAGGAATATCTGAAGTTTAGCATTTTTGTAGGGGAAAAAATACCCTATGCAAGTCATTAAATAGGCACAATCATGATTTTATCCAAATAGTTAAACTGAAGGGGGCTATGCTTTTTGCCATACAGTATAGAGAGCTTTTCATTCAGCAAAGCTGTAGTTCAATTACACCATGGATGGGCTGTAGCTCCAGTTTATTGAAAGCAGTAAAAACAGTGCAAGAAAACTTCACTAAGGCTGTTCTGCACCTCCTTACAAAGCCCTCTCATTTGCCTCTGAGAAATACTGCCAAACAATCAGCAGGCATGGGGAGGCTGTCCAGCCACACAACCTGATGATTCTTATTCTCCTATAGAAGGTTTTTTGGAAGTGCAGGACATCATCACCTCAGGGTCAAACAGCTGAAGTTTTACTGACTTAAATTGGTTTTACTTGCATATTATTGCTCTACCTTTTACATGTTAAAATTCTGGCCTGAGGTGTGTTAAAGGTCAAGTTCTATTCTGTACTGCAATAGAATTGAATAGTAGTTCCGGTCAAATGCGTTAACTACACATCTAATGCATTAAAAACGTCTGAATACAAGTATTCAGGGCCTTTTTCCCCCCCCTTGATAAACGTCAGTCTTAATACAAACAATTGTGAGGCTTCTATGATTTTTGTTCTGATGGCCTTTTACGCTTACCAGTGTTACAGAATTGTTTGAGTTATGGAAATATATATTGGATTACGTTTGGGTATACTTAATTGGGTGGGGAATGGAACATGTTTATGTCTAATACTGAGGAGAGGAACAAAAAAGAATATGGATGAAGAAATAAGTGTAGAGACCCAAAGGGTGGTAAGAATTGGTATCAAGTTTCTTAGAGTTCTCAAAGTCACCTGAGTGTAACTTTTGCAATTGTGCAAGGGGTTGAGATCAGGAAAACCCTTACCCAACCTCATATCTTGATGGTTTGGAGGGCAAACATGAGTTGTTGCTGAGGGTACTGTGACATTCATATGCAGTGAATGTGTGGATCCATCACCCTGGCCCTCCTTCCTTTTCCTTTAATTTTCACTGGAGCAGCACAGTCTTTGGCCTGTGCCATATCTGTCTTATCTCTCCTCCTCACATCCACTACAGATCACCTTGTTTTCTGGCAGATGGGCTTCAAGGAGTGTTAACTCCCAGCTGAGTAATATTCTGTTTCTGAAAGCAAATGGCCCTGGCTCTTTTTGCTACCAAGTAATAGAGATAATTCTATGAGTGCAAATTGAGGCAAGGTTGAAACCTTTTGACTAGGAACATTCAAAATTCGAAACACTTTTGCTTTTATTTTGCACAGAAAAATATATTAAAAACTATTTGTTCCTTCTGTCTTAGAAGGAGAGAAGGGCAGGAACAAAGGATTTATATCTTTAGATTCAAGAAAGGGGAGAAAGCAAAACAGTACAAAACAAAGTTAACTTATTTTAAAAATCTGTAGTGTTAGCAATCTTCCCTGAAGAGTTCATCATGCTATTGATCAGTAAAGTGTAGCTAAATAGTGATACTAAAATACTATGAAAATTCTATGTAATGCTATACATCTTTGTAATGATCATGGGGGGGGAAATAAATTGCAAATTCTAAAGCACACTTGTTATCTTGCATAATTTTATTCCCTAACTAGTTAACTTTGAACCATGTACATTAAATGTATATAGAGTGAGTCTTGGAGAATATTCAGGGGTTCCTGAAGCTCCAAAGAGCAAGGGTTTTATAACACATGTTTTTGAGCCTAATGAATGTCAGCTTTAACATAATTGTATTGAACTGGCTGGTCTAGTTTCAGATTATGACCTAAAAAGAAATATTCTGAGTATTTAAAAAAATAAAGAATTTAAAGACATAGACATTCTGCAATATTAATCAGTTGATGTTTCACAGGTGTTAACAATAGTCATTGAGGTAAAGAGGGAGGGAGCTAAGAAGGTAATGGATGTGCTGAATTTATTCAGCAATGTCTGTCTCAGTGCACAGCTGTGTAGTCAATAAACTTTTTCCTTAAGAAGGCTTGCACTTTGCTTGCATATTTATATCAATGCATTTTATCTGCTGTATGCAGCAGCACATAAAGTTCTTGGGGGGGGGGGGGGAATTCATGCAAAGATAGGTGTATACATCCTAATAAGCAGAGCTGGCAGATCACTTGTGTGCGAACAGATTATATCCAAATCAACTGGATCACTTTCTACCCTTCTAGGGAACAACCCATCTTCAGCACCCGAGCTCATGTCTTCCAGATTGACCCAAACACTAAGAAGAACTGGGTTCCCACCAGCAAGCATGCTGTTACTGTGTCCTACTTCTATGACAGCACAAGAAATGTCTACAGGATAATCAGTTTGGATGGCTCAAAGGTAAATTCTCTTTAAGATGATAACTTGTTTTCTGAAGGATTTTTTTGCTTGTTTGCTTGTTTTCCAATCTGCTATCCTTCATATATTTTTTTCTCAGATGCTTTTGTGAATGTCTACCTGAGAAAGATTAGTTTATAAAAGTGTTTAAGTGTTCACTAGAAAAATGCGGTTTTCCATGCATTCATATTGAATAAATGTATTGCCGAACTTTAAGCAAAGTAACAGACCATTGCTAAAAAGCCATCCTCTGTGAGGAGTGGTTAAAAAAAAAAATTACAAATAAGCTTACAAGAATCTGTGTTCATCTTTGGTTTTGATCATTGGTTTCAACATTGAGACATCTGTTTGGTGCCAATAATCACTTTGTAAATCCTTCTTTATTATGTAATCTGTTTTTTAAAGAAATTACAATGATTTCCTCTCAAAAGCTTACACCTTTCTTATAAAAACTGTCTTTGAGTGGAGGACAACATCTCCACTCAAAAGTGGGTATAAAAACTAGCTTTACAAACAGCAATTCAGAAATCTCTGAAATAAGGGCATTAAAGGTATACCAAGTGTAATCAAAAGCTCTAATCCTTTCGAGAGATTTTTCACTTGCAACTCCTGGAGTTGTATTAATTCATGATGGTTGGAAATAAAATACTCTTGGAGCATAGCAGCCTTCATTAGAGATTTCTTGGCTGTTACTGAAAGCTTAAAAAATTATACACAGTATATTTTAAAGGAGGAAGGAAGATTTCTAGCATATAAAAAGTACGTAGGAATTCTTAGTCACAGATCTCTATACAGTGTACTTGAGGTCACTTGAAATGCTGATACCAAAACAGCAAAAACTTCTTGCTAAGTTTAATTCTTACTTTTTCTTCCTTTTCCAGCCTTTCTTCAAATGGCTTTGGGTTCTGCCAAATAATGCCTTTTGTGTGACTGTTTGTAAAAGACTTTGGGATTGCGACAAGATGCTAGATGAAATCAAGGCTAGTAGTTGTGTTCTGTCATATCTAAATTGGTCTGCATAGTTTGTACAATCTTTATTCGGATATCCACTGTTTTATTTTTCCTTTGTTGAAAGCTGCAAATCTTTAAAAGTGGTTGTTGAGTTATGATGTTAAGTAGTTGTTAGTTGTTCGTTCTTCATGTACCGAAGCATTTCTTCTGCATTTACAGAACTATTTGCAATGTATATTGATAATGCAATCTGTCCCTCCTATTTCCTCTCTCTGTGATTGCTGCAACTTTGATATATTACCCTTTGGAAGAAAGCAGTATCTAACTGGGATTTAGGACCCCACTCATACCTAAGGCCCATTGCTTTAGGTAAAGCCCATTCTTTAGAGCTACACTGCTCTGAGGTGTAATGTATGAAGGGCTAGGGCACCCATGGAAGAGTTTTAGGAAGCTTTCAGTATATTTCCCTGAGGGCTTTTTTCCCCTAACTATAGCACCATCTTTTTTAATGTCTTTAGCATATAAAATGTAGCAAGTATGAAAGGCTAAATAAAGGATTGCATTCAGAGCACACCGAGATCATCTCTGTGCTCTGTGGTGTACAGTTGGCTGCCAGTAACACTGTTCACAGCAGAGCCTGCAATGCCTTGTGTCCATTGGTTAGAGAGTGGTATTAAATTGCATAGCCTTTACTCCTTTGAAAATGTAATTCCCCAGTTTTGAATTTTGAAGTGAAATTGAATAAAGATTTTTTTAACAAATTTTATCTTGAAAATATTTCAAATTAACATGTTACCACCTGCTGGAAAAATTTGTCAAGCCATACTTATGGCTTTGCAATTCTCACGTGCCTGGCTCAGCAGCAATGTTTTATTGTAATCCTCAGTGCTGGTGGGTTTATTGCACCCTATGGGTTGGTACCTTAGAATGAAGTGTCCATGGGCCCTGTGGCCCAGGTGCTGAGCAGTAGAGTTAGTAAATGATAGCAGCTCAAGGGTTTGCCCATTTAGACTGTAGTAAGGTGTCTTTGAGAGAGAAATACTTGAGGTTTGAATCATAATCACATTTCTGCCCCCTCCTTTGCCTCTTCCTTAGGCCCTCCTTCCTCTTGCCTCAGGATGTGTGATAGAGCATTAAGGGAACTTTGAGCTTGTTTTGTGCAGCCCTGGTGGAGGACAAGGAAGCCTTAGGTACTCCTTGCTCTGCAAGAAGCTGAGTGTTCTGAGTCAGAGCAGAAAGTAATCTGCTGAGAGCTCTTCTCCATATCAGTTTTCATCAAATTTTGTTTCCTGGATTGTAAACCAAACTAAAAACTCTCCTAGTTACCATTCAGAAAATAATTTGAAACCAAGTAGTTTACATCTTGGTTTGAAGGGGAAAAACGCAAGCTATGCACGATTTCTTTCTACTAAATTTTGCACTGATTGTGTCAGAAACATCAATAGATCTTCTTGAAAACAGAAGGATTTTTTTAAGATGTGGTCTTTCCTCTTGGCTGAGGGTCACTACCATACATTGCAGATTGCCACCAGAATTTGCCTGTGGAAGTCTGGTGTGTTTTGTGGGAGAGTTCTTTGTTTTTTAGTTTGTTTTTGCTTATTCATGAGCCAGATTTGGGTGAGGCAGGTTGTGTTGCATCATTTGTTCAGCAAATTAAAAGGTTTGTATTCCTTCTTGACTTGACTGAGGTTGATTTCCCCCCCCCCCCCCCCCACAACAAAAAAAAAAAAAAAAAACAGACTATAGTTTTTTGCTTGCTTTTTGGGGGGGGGGGGGTAGTATTGGTGCTTGTGAATATTTGTGATCCACATAGTCCTTTTATGAATCTTAAAAGAATAACTCCAAAGGATGAATTTCTCCTATATGATATGGGCTTTTTTTAAACCAATTCACTGTGATTCTGTCTCTCTAATATTATTCTCTGACACTATCTCCTCTTAAAATATCTTATGCAAGAAATGCATTGCCCTCTAACTTGAGGATCATAAGGTGTTCAGTGTATGGGCCTTATTTTATGATCATATAGGTTATCTTGATCCCTGTGGCCCACATCAGGTGGATTCTGATCTAAAATAATAACTTGGTGTAACCTGAAGCTGGTTTCTGTAACCTTTCAAGTAAATATCTTCTATGCAATAGAAGGGTGATGGTAGCCATGCTGCAGTGCTACACAAATAACAGAAGCAAAGGGTGCTGATTTCAGCTCCATAACTACCCACTTGAGTATCCATCCAGAATGCTATCTCACCAAAATGTTGTAGGCTAGACTTAATTTCTTGAAGATTTCAGACTTGGGGAAGCACTATTTGGTCTCTATGAAAATGAAGTTTCTCACTGCTAACATCCTGAGAAGACTGTTATTTCCTTCATATCAGTTTCTTCTACTTAAAGAAAACAATTATCTTCATCTGCAACAGAAGTTGATTTGGACCCTTAGAACTATGAGGGTGATAAGGGGGTGTGTGGTTTCATGGAAGCAGAACAAGGCACACATACATGCTTAATGTCCAGAAGGTTTTATTGACAATAACCTTTGTAATAGATTGTGACATGTAAGAAAGATGTAACCAGCAGCTTTTCAGTGACATGGAATCCACTAGTATCATATTAGACTTTATACTGATGTACTTTAACTGGACAGTTTCACATTACAAATTTAGAATATATTAGACAAGCGTTAATGTGTTGAAAGAGCAGGTAGAACTCTGAAAATTCATGATAAATCTTCAGCTGGGTTCAGTTGGAATGAAGTTACTATCTAGCAGTTGTGTTTTCTGATTACATTAGCAAAAATATATGACAGAAGATGTACTTGCATATCATAAACTATAAGAGAAAAATGTGTTCTAAGCATGGTGGTTCTTCTCTACTTGGTGCAAGACCCTGTTTTGTAATCATGGGCATGTCTTCACCAAAGAGAAATTCTTGAAATACAAAAGCCTGTGAAATAGGTTTTTCAGTGAGAATGTATTATGCAACATACGCATGTTCACATACAAATGTTCACACTTCTGTGAACATGCAAAAATGCAACAAATTCTCAGTGCTGTTTGAGAGATGTTGTCTTAGGGGAAAAAGAAATACCCTTGTGAGGCAAAAGTTATGTTTTTTTTTTTTTGTTTGTTTTGTTTTTTTCTCTAGTTCTTTCATCTCACTAGCCTGCGTGGATGCTTTTGTAACTTTTTTAGGCTTGCTAACTAAATTACTACTTGCAGATGCCAACAGATGGTCTGCCCAGCTCTTGCTTCTGTTCCAGGAAACTATGCTAGTGCATGCTCTCTGAATTGTAGCTGTGACTGGATTAAAAAACTGTTCCCTAGTTGCCAGGGCATGGCTCATTCATGATGCACAAGTACTTGTCTGTAACTTTCAGTTATGGGTAGTCTTAATCTAGAAAACCAACCTTTACGACTGTTACTTTGTTTCAGGCAATAATAAATAGCACTATCACCCCCAACATGACATTTACTAAAACATCCCAGAAGTTTGGCCAGTGGGCAGACAGCAGGGCAAATACAGTCTATGGCTTGGGATTTTCTTCTGAACATCACCTTTCAAAAGTAAGTATAACTAATGAAAACCTTTTTGGGAAATCAGGTGACCTTAAGAATATTTGATTGCTAATGTTTGCATCTTGATTCACTACTGTTTTGTTACTCACAGATTTTCGTATATACATCCTTGCAAGGTAAAAAGGCAAGGTGAGAAGTAATGGCAGTAAGATTTTACCATTCCGATATCTGGGTGGTATATTTATTTTTGGTTTTTGCCTTTTTAAAAAAAAATCAATGAGGAAAAGAAGGAGGTATAAGATATTGCAGGGCATGATATTAATGTTTTCTCTGATTATTCATTTATTTTCTCTTTTAAAAAAAAAGTTGTTCTTCCATTAGTTTTTCATGATGAAATTTAAGAGTGAATAACTTAGTTTCTTATGTATTTAGATCGTATAGGAAAAACTATAGATGAATTTTAGTTTTTTGGGGAGGGGTTTTGTTTGTTTTATCTACGTTCAATTTAATTTTTCTGATATGTGGTGTGTATTATCATGTTGGCAGATTTCAGGTTAAGCTAGTAAGAAAAAATGCTCAAATACTAAATTTTCTTCTTTGAATACAAAAGTTGAAATGTTTTAATAAAGGAACACTGTGACCTATGTAAATATTTTTCTGATCTATCTGTGCAGGAAGTCTGCTCTAATCCAAGAAAACTAGTTATACTTTTCTTCAATGAGCTGATAGCATAGTTGCTCTGAGCACCCCGTATACAATGCCATTTACTATTGATACTCCTATGATAGATGACTCCAACCACCTATAGAAAACGGTCTCACTTTCACAGATAAATAATTTGTTTTATTTGAGGAATATGTCCCTAACTTAAACAGAACTTTTGTAGTGTACCAAAGATTTGAAAACCCAGATGCACTGAAAGGAATATATAGTAATGTACAGAACATGTTCGAATAAGGAATAATGATTGCTTTATTTCTTTAAAAGGGCAGCCCGTTTGAGAAAGTAGTAATTGCCTAAGGATAAGCACAGGCCTCTTAGAACAGTTGAAAGAATTGGTACATCTACTTAATTGTATGATTCATTTATAGGAATTCTTCCTTTCATAATGAGGTAGCTTTCATTTCTATAAAACAACACAAACCCCAGGAAATTCTGAATAATGTTAGTAGTGCATATATGCTTGTGTATTTGTGCATATGTCATTGCATCAATAAGCTTAGAAATGGTCATTTATTTAAATTGGTGTAAATTGGCTTAAATATATGCTAGAGGTACTTGTTCACCAAAATAGCAATAACTTCTGTTATGCTGATTTAGTTTGCCTCTTTGGTTTTCTTTTTTTTTTTTTTTTTTTTTTTTTTTTTTTTTTTTTTTTTGCATTTGTCCTTTTCTTCACTTTTTCATTGCTTTTTCCCAAATGATACTGCTTTCTCAATCAGTTCGTTCATTTGTTCATTTTTTTTTTTAGCTGTTCTCAAACTGACATATGAGAGTTCTTCATACGCTCTTGGCTTTAAACTTTATATTGCTGTTGTAACAATCATCTGAAGCTTGCAGTAAGGTTTTGACTCGTGGGCTATTTTTTTGGCTCATGTGCCCTTGTCCTTCTAAATTGATACTGTTCACTGTAGTAGATTACAACAGCTATAACCTATTTTTCTATCATAATAGTGACTGAAAATTAGCTGAGTGAGAATCTTTGAGAAAAGTCATTCTTCATCAGACCTTTACTCAGTATATCAAACCACCACAAAATTGTTCATCTAAAGTGAAGCAGTAGTCAGTAATACCTAAAAGATTATTCTTCTGTTGAAGAATGTTTCTTTCTTTCACTGAATCGTAGTTTGCTAGAATTCCTCTACTTGCTGTAGTAAGTGGAATAGAATGTTCTATAATATTCACATAAAGTTGCTGAGACATAATCTCTCAACCACAATACAAGGCTGTAGTTTTGATAGGTTATCTCTTTCCATGTAGCAGAACTCTGATGTGCTATCTCTTTGAGGTAGTTGACCTGATTTATTCCAAATAATTTAAGAACATGCTAAATAGCCATAGTACCATCATAGGTGCTTGAGAGATCTTCTCAATCTCCTGCCGCAACATTTCTTTAAATTTTTAATCTTTTCCTTAAGTTATTAATCCTTCAGTGAACCCTTCTTAAAGCTTAAAAACAATAGGGCTTTTCAGGTAGTGAGTTTTGACTGAGCAAGTAAAGTTTTGACTGAAATAGTTGAGGTGATTGTAACATGCAGAAGTAGTTTTCATCTCTTCCATATGCTTGCAGTGTGAAGCAATTTCTTTGTATTCTACTGCTGGATAAATTTAGAAAGTGTTGGTGAACTTATTGTTTTTGCAAAATCAGTTCTATCTTTAGCTGATCATAGTTTAAAAAAAATCTCTGTATAAAAGCAGTATCAATCAAAAAAAGTTTGGATACTCTAGTGTTTAGTCTAGTATGAGGCTAGTTTCTTTTCTAGAAAGAATCTAGGCCATCTTAATAAATCTCTCAAGTTTAAAGGCACATGCCTTTTTAAATTGCACCTTTAGCTGTCTTCAGGAAGAAGATACATCAAGCTTCATATGACAGTTCAATATATAATTCTTGAATTTGGTGCTCAATATATGAGTAAAATTCAACAAATTCATTCTTTATCTTGGCTGAGGTCAATTGATTTAAGATTCCTACTGCAGCTTTTTCATTTAGCTATTGAAATGACAAATACTGTTTAAAATTTTGAATAAACTAGTATTGTTTCAGGTATCAAAGAATGAAACCTATTGAAGACCTCAGGCTAATACTGGCCTCAGTAGGCTTCAGAGCCAGATCACCTACTGTAAGGAAGACAATAAAATATGAACCTGAAAACAGCTATTGAAGGCAATTTACCACTGTTACTAGCCACATCTGAGATGTTGTGGTTATTTTATGCCATCAGCAAGAGAACTTTTGTAGTTTTGTTTTGTCCTATTTTTGTCGTATAAACAGTTTATAATGTTTGAAAGGTATTTGTCACTGTAACTCACTTAAATGAGTATCTAATAAGGAGGCAAAAAAATCTTCTGACAGAATTTGACTGTGTAAAATGTTAACTATTACATTCTGTTCTGCATGTAATGTAACTACTTCACGCCCTCTCCCCCCAGTTTGCGGACAAATTTCAGGAATTCAAAGAAGCTGCACGACTAGCAAAGGAAAAATCCCTAGAAAAGATGGAGCTAACAAGTACGCCCTCGCAAGTGAGTCTTAATTGCCTGATTGAAGCCTAGAACCTCATAGTCTGTGCTCCTTACTGTTTTAAGTGGATAAGATGCAATATAAATTCTTATGTCTTATTGGAAATGATCAGGATACTTCCCAGTTCAGCCTAAAGCCTTATACAATCAGCTAGAAGTGTCAAAATGTCCATTATGGAAGTGTCAAAGGGGCTCCTATAAAGTAAAATTAGGCTTTTGTGTGTTTGATGTTTTTTTTCCCCTTTTCAGCTTTTCTGCTTCCTTTACTCAAAAGGTTTTGAGTAAAGATGGTGAGCAGTTATTTTAGTAAATCTGTAATAAAAAACACTTGTGTGTTTCTTTTATTGTATCTGTGAAACTGAAGGAGGTGCATAGTGAAGAATTTTATAAACAATTCTTTCAACAAAGAGTTAAAATACCAAGCACCACTTAATTGTTTTTGAATCTTTTTACAAGATGTCCAACTGTGGTAAAACTCTTGAAGCTCCCCATTAATCTGTCCTCTTGCATCATCATATCTCACACCTGAATACTAGATAACATGGAAGAAAAAAAAAATACCCCATTAAAACAAATATCTTGAGTTTGCTTTGGAAAAAGAAATTGCATGAGGCTTTTATGCCTTTTCTTCCTAGTGTTTTTGGCTCTGGGTGTAGCAGTTTGTTTTATTTTAAGCAATAGTAAAGGCAAATGTAATTCCTCCTCTTGAAGGAAGAAACAACTTTAAATTTTCAGCAGGG